CCGCCCTAATGGATCTTTCTTCTTCTTTGTCAGCTTTCTTCTCATCACATTCTCTCCCCCCTCCACCGCTTTCCGCTCCCATAGCTTCCTCTTTTTCTGATGCCTACTTGTCTTTGTTGAAGATTTTGAACCGCGAGCATCAACGGCGATGGTTTTACTTTCAAATGATCTTCCACCACCCGTTCCATCTCGATGACCATTTTTCGGCCTCTTAGAAGGTCTCTATGTTTCAGTGGCAGCTCCATCATCACCAATTGTATTTGGAACTGAGCAGTCACCCAGCTTTTTTTGCTTGTCACCTTTTTGTTTCCGTTCGTTGAACTGACTATTCACGTCTTTTGGAACACGATCATGATGGGCTGCACACCGCTGCGCTTGTAGCTAAGCTTTTCGCTCTTTCAACTTCTGAACATTCTCAAGTGCAAACTCCACAATCGGGTGATGTTGAGGACCAAAAGTTTCTATGAGCTTTCCTTTCTTCATATAGGTCATCCAAGAACTTTATCTTCACGGTTGACGTTGAATACAACTGAGGGAGATCTTATGCCAAAAAGGAAAAGAATCACTACACAAATTAGTATAGCTAGCGGCAGGCAAATCGTAGCTACTAACGAACCTTTAGAATAACTCGTTTTTGTTTTATAGCTCGTTAGGTAACCGCACCGATACAAAGTTTGCTCAGTTCTTTTGCAGTCAGGGACTTGGGCAATTTTTTTTATAAATATTCTTGTCTTTGAAACGTGATACTTTGGAGATCGAAGCTTCTTCATCATCCTCCTCTCCGCCCTGCATGGTTTCAGAAATTCACTACAACATGTTGCATATATGTAGGGGAACGAAGAGATCAGCAACACTTACATTTAGCATGTCGACATATCAGTAGCTGAAACCCCTTCTGCCGCTGGAGTTCCCTCGAGAATAAGACCGTCCTGTTAGTATTTTGAAGAAACCAAATGGCAATCATTCAGGACACAATTTATAAAATCTAGATAAAGCCAGGAGGTTCATCAAAGAAATAAACTTTGCTACATAGAGATTGCAGCTCCTCTTTTCTGGCCACATTCAGTTCCTTGTTTTGAGCCCAATTTTTAACCAAAGCGCACAAGACTGTCAATTCTTAACCCTTCAGAGAAATTCCCAAGCCAGATGCCGCATTCCCGGCTGAAACAGCATAACTGGCTGCATCATTTGTTTCAAACATGAGAAACCCCTTCCTTTTCGTTTCCTGCCAAAACATAATATCACATGTACTTTCAAACGCAACAAACGATGCAAGAATCGTATCAATCTACATATAAGAAATACTTTGTGACCTGAAGGACTGGGGTAAAAGATTGCACTATCCCCCAAAGGTCGAAAACCTTTGTTTGACATCTTCTTTATTGAAGTCAGACGGAAGATTGCTTATGAAAATTGTTCTATCCAGATCATCTCCTTCTTCTATCTCATCAGTAGCGTTGGATTCTTTTGCAGGAATGTCTTCTTAAGCTCATGAACCAATTTATCAACAGGCGGCTTCTCGTTCCATTTGGGCAGTGCAGAACCTACGACTTCATTAGTACTACTCTAAAGTAAAGCGCGAATCAAAAATGTACATTTTCTGCATCCTGTTTGCGTGTGAATTGTACAAATGTAAAACCGTTCGATAACCTGCAAATTGGAATAAAAGTAAGAACGTAGGGAAGGAGAAGAGTTTATTTCATTGAGCGAGAAACGATACTGGATGATGGTAACAGACCCTGTATTAGAATTATGTTCAATAACTACATCCCAGTAAGCAAAGAACCTCAAAAGGAAGATTTCTAACGATCAGCTTCCACTTCCGAACCCTGAAACCCTGTCTCATAAAAACAATCGAGCGGATCAATAATAATGTAACAATTCAACATTTAGTAAACCCGCCATTTATCTTGCTGGTGTAACAATTCAACAGAAGCACATGCTTATTGAACACTTATAATAATGTAACTTCCAACATTTAGTAAATCTGCCTGGTAACATTTAAGAATGTAACTTCAACTAGGAAATTAAGCATAACCATATACCAAATATAAGAAAAAACAATAAATTGCACGTACGAAAAAGTTGAGAATATTTGAAAACTTAAAAATCTTTTGAAGTTTAGAAATTTTTGAGATTACTCAAATTCTGAAATTTTCGAACCTGCCAAAATTTCCGAATTTGAAAATTGTGGACCAATTCTAAAATTTATGACGGAAATTGGGAAGGCTGTTTCCGATCGGATGCTTTGGAACACGGCCCTAGGCACCTAGTGAATCCGGATCCTCTTTGTGAGGATCCGGGAATTCGTGAATCATACCCGTTCATCGTATATCGTGCGGTCAGAAATCATTTTAAATATTTTTATTTAAAATTAAATACCTAACAAAAACTGATCATACGAAATACAATAAATGAACACAATTTACGAATCTCCAAGATCTTCACCAAAAGATCGGAGAGGATGCTGTTGGGCCCCTAGGAACTTGCTATAGTAGATGGGAGAAATTTCGGTTAAAAGTACCAAAATGACCTTTTAATTTATTTGATCTTTCTAAGAAAACAAAAAATCCCAATCTTCGTCATCTCCTTCCCATCACAGCCCAAAATCAGAGGTTGGAGGCTTGGAGCCTCAGGCAACGTACAAATTGTTTTTGAAGACAATCATATCATTCATTCGCGGTAACCACAAAGCTTTAAGCTCTCCCTCTTTCTTTTCCTATTGCATTTCTGCCTCTCATTTATTTAATTTGAAGGTCGAATTGGATTTAAGTACGATAAAATCGAACTGGGTTCTGATCTGTGACCAGGTTTATAGAAAGATGATTGTGCTTTTTGCAGATCAACTGTTTGTGGATTTGACTGTTCGAAGAAAGTGTCGGAATTGGAGAAGATTGAAATGGGTTTTGTAGTTACAACTCTGATCTTTGCAATGGTGGGCGTAATTGCTTCCCTCATGGTCAGAATCTGCTGTGGCAGAGGCGCATCGGCCAATTTGTATGTCTTATTTGCTCTACTAGTTTTCTCTTTTAATTTCTGAATCCAAAGATTTTAGCTTTCTAACTTGTTTTCCAATTGTTGATGCAATATTTTGAAGTTGGTAGGATGTTAAATTGGATTTTAATGATGTTTAGAGTTTAGGGATGGTCAGATTGAAACCATTATAGTCTGTATGTTGATTATGCTATTGGAACCGATTTCCGGTGATGGAATTCGGATCTTTTAAGGGTTTAGAAACATTTGCATTGCATTTTAGCGAATCGTAGCTCCCTTCTTGTTGGATGACATTGTAGGGAAAATCTACCACATAGATTGTCGGGAAAGAAGAGGAGAGTTTTGGTCAGGAGATGCTTTGATATGGGAAACCTGAAACATGCTAATCGGGTTCGATAATTTGATTTATGTTGCATGATTTTCTAAATGTTTCATGGTGTTCATGTAATAATATTGTCGATGAGTTATTGTGAAACTTTAGTCTATCGTTTCCTAAGGAAGGAAATCTGTGGAATGTGTGGGAAAGGAAGACTGATAATGTTGTTCTTCACCATTTTAAATCCTAGGAGATAAGTGAGAGTTTTAGTTAGACACATCAAGGAGATCCCGTTGAATTTATGTTTGATTAGTTAGATTTATTGGTTACATTCGTGAAATATGTATAGATTTATCCTCAACATTTCTGTCTGCATCAAATGAGATGAGGCGGCGTTGATTTTGATGTTTACTCCATGTCTACATCTAGACTTACCGCACAATGTTGTTTGCATGATTAAGATTCAAACACTTTTGGACCTTTCCGGTGTTGGGGGCATGTTTCAAATCCTCTTAAAGCTAAACGTATTGTTTTTTCTTGTGCAGGCTTCACCTTACACTAGTTATCACAGCGGTAGTGTGCTGTTGGATGATGTATGTCATCGACTCTTACCTTTGATTTTTTTTCTGTTAACTTTTTGGGAAAATTTTATCAATTTGGATTTGCTTCAGTTGGTGAACTTTTAATGTTACTCCTTTGCAAACTTTCCCACCTGGATGTTGACTTAGCATGCTCCCTTTGTACTTGGTAGGTGGGCAATCGTATACCTTGCACAGATGAAACCACTCATTGTTCCGATCCTCACTGAAGGAGAGTGAAGTGTGTTTGGAAGAATTTGTTCCTGCAGAACTGGGTCACGCATCATTGTCTCAGACTTTCCATTCGGGATTTGGATGTATAATTTTCGAAGAGAGTTAGTTTGATAAGTAGGTTTATTGTACCGCTACATTTGTTTGCTTCATCCTCCGTAAACAGGGTGATAGACCTGTCTGTTTTTTGCAGTTTCGGCTTGTATGTACCTCTGTTTTATTGATGTGAAATAAAATGTCGATCCCTTGCCATGTTCTATGTGCATGAAACTCGGATTGCCTGAGGGTTGTGTAAGAAAAGAATTGGGTTTTTCGGTTTTTCCGGTTCGTCTCATTTTGTTATTCGTGTATTATAATGTCGTACGTGGTACACTGATATACTATAATACATAGATTTTCAAACTAAAACGTAAAATAGTAACAGCATGTTGCAATACGATACAGATATAAATAGATTTTAAACAAAAATACGTGCAAGAGTAACGTCATGTGACAATACGATAAGGATCTACCATTTATACCAATCTTATCTATATCGAGAGATTTTTCAGTGTGCCTGAAATACGAAGTGGTACACCACATGTCATTACCACACGTCTTATGGGCAAATTGAAAAATCTCTCATCTATAATTCTATATCCTACAGCATGGACTTACCGTCTCTGATGTGAAGACATAGATGTACGCGAAGATATTATAACATTGTGCAAACCAATACATAGCAATTAATGGCACTAAATGATCTAGTTGAACTGTGAGGATCTAGTTGAACTGTGAGGCAACAAGCAATGCCGCAGATTTGTTTTATATTGATTTGATCCAGTGAATGATTCACATAACAAACAATAATATAAGGTCGTGATTTCATTTTCTCTGAGAAAAAGAGCGTGCGAAAATCATTCTTAATATATATTCGAGCAAGCAAAGATCAAACATTTCAGAAGCAGGTAATGGAGAAGAGGCCGCCTGCACTAGCTCTTGGGCCGCTGAAGCTGACGCTGCTTCTGTTGCTGTGGTTGGTTGTGTTTCCGGCTGCTAAGGGTTGCCCATCAGGCGGCAGCCGATGCAGAAGTTGCCCACCAGACGGCAGTCAATGCAGAAATTGTATAGTAAATCAGATGAAGTTCAGCTGCCCAGAATGCACGCCGGTTCTGCGCTGTATGGCTCGATGCTTGTGGGGCGGCAGCTCGAGGGCCAACTGCATCAAGAACTGTGATTGTGGCACCCCGAAGCTCTCCGACTGCAAGAGGTGCATGTCACGCTGCAAGTGCAGCTGCATGTTGTCGTAGATGAGCGTTCTCAAGAAGAACAACAAAGCCTGTATGTTTCTGTTTGACGTATGAATATTATGATTTATGAATTCAGAAATCTATCTTTCTCATGTTCATTTCATTGTCAATGCGTCGATATTCTAAATTGCTCTAATTTAATTTACCAAAATCTGAGTTGTGGGCGCAAGAGAATGAGCACACTGCTCTAACTCGCTAGGTTTAATACACATCTACTTAAGCGACACCTTTTAGTTTTTGTGATGTGGAAGATTATTTTTTATATTTTTCTCGTCTAACGATGAACTCATTCCCCTGCTTGCAAATAACGCATATTTACGATATTTCATAATTAAACCGATGAATTTAAGTGCATGGAGAATAGAACTATAAAAAGAAGGGTCCAAACTAAGTACAAAGTTACAATTTGCGGTCGGTAGTTTGTAGACTGTGTCACTCTACAGATAACAGAGTAGGCAAGCAAAGCAGTGTCGGCGATGAACCAGATCACGGCTCCTGCAAAAATCGCTGCAAGCACCGAAACCCCAGATACTGAGCGCAATACCTCTCCATCTCCTCCCCTCCTCTATCCCTGCACACCTCCTCCTCCATCTCTGCAAGGACGTCGTCCCAGTTCCTCCCAAACCCACCGTCTCTGCCACCCCAGAAGCCATCCACGTCTTCCGATACGATCGCGTCCACGATCTCCTGCAGCCCCACGATCCGACGGCTAACCTTTCTCCTCGCTTCCCTCACCGCGGGGTCCACCCCGGGGACCGAGTCCAGCTTCAGCAGCAGCCGCATCAGGGACTCGTTCATCCTCAGCTTCTCGCGCTCGCTTGTCCTAACGGCGTCGACAGTGTCCTGCCGTTGGATCAGGCGCTGGAACTCGTCGGCCTCGGAGTGGACGGCTGCGATTGTTTTGAAGTGGGTGCGGATGAGGTGGGCCCGGTAGGCCGACTGAATTTTGATGGCTGCGGTGGATTGCGGTAAGTGAAGGGTGATGGGAATTGGGGTGTCCGAGGACTGGATGGGAATTTCGGTGGTGGCGGGAGGGGCAGGTTGGTCATTGTGGAGGGTGTAGGTGACGGTGGTGGAGGCGGAGGAGGAGAAGCTGAGCCTGCGACTGCGAGAGGGTTTCATCATCTTCGGCTAAGCCCTGGTGAATTTGAGTGAGTGTGAAAAATGAAAATCATTTTTTAATTTAAAACGACTTTCTCGAAAAGAAAAAAGAAAAAGGTCTTTTTGAAACAGTAGAAGGTTCTTGAATACTCTTGGCGCGTAACAGCATTCAGCACCAATCGCTCCCGTCCGTTAATTTTGCGGGACCCACACGCCACCCTCTCATTTTTGGAAGAAACGCTTTTCGGCGAAAGCATCTTTAATCTCACAGTACATGCACAGCTAGATATGTTGCGGTGACGTCTCGAGCTAATAACCTATCTCATATTTTTCAATCAAGCTACTGATCAATGCCATTGGTGACATCACAGGGCGGATTTAAGATTCGAATCTTAGAGAATTCTAGTGTTAAATACAAGATTTTGGATAAAAACAGGCCACCACAAAATTATTTTAGTTCATTCACAAAGATTTCGTCGTACACTTGATGAACTTATTGTTATCAGCCAAATCAAGTCATGCATATGTCAACATATATCAACATATGCCAAAATAATCTGATAAGTGATATAAAAAGAATTTGTTGAGTGTTGTCAACACAACTTGTTGACATATACCTAGCAGACATTATGTGAAACACTTTGTAGGCACAAAAAGGACCCGTATCAAATATTCGAATGGTCCTTGAAAGACCTATACATGTATATTTCTTGAACGTCGAGTGGTCATAGGACCACATTGGTTTCTAAGTCCATCAGCCCCCGGTGACATCCACATTTAAATGTATAGAAAGAGAGAGCACTAAACCGTAAACAGGAAATAGTAGGGGGATTATCATAAAGCAGAACAACAACGCCTTATTCCACTAAGTAAGGTCGGCTGTATTGCGCATGGTTTAGAATTACAAAACAACAAAGGCCAAGTGAATTACAGAGTACATGGCAGGTACAGTGAGGCTGGACAACACAAAGGTCCGTTTGCGCTCTATCTTGAACAACAAGGCATTGTTGCTCAATACACTACACCAGGAACACCACAGCAAAACGGAGTTTCAGAAAGGAGGAATCGAACTCTGATTGGAATGGTAAGAAGCATGATGACAAGATCAAAGTTACCAGGATTCCTATGGGGTGAAGCATTGAAGACAGCAACTTATATACTGAACAGAGTTCCGAGCAAAGCGGTTTCATCAACACCTTTTGAAATCTGGAATGGCAGGAAGCCCAGTTTTAGTCATTTCCATGTTTGGGGATGTAAAGCTGAGGCTAGAATTTACAATCCAAATGAGAAGAAATTGGACTCAAGGACAGAATCATGCTATTTCATTGGCTACTCAGAGAAATCTAAAGGCTTCAAGTTTTATTGTCCTCAAGCTCACACCAGGATTCATGAAACTCACAATGCTAGGTTCTTTGAAGATCAAGATATTGCAGACTTATCACAGGGCAGGTTCATTTTTGAAGAGATTGATCAAAATGAGAAGTCCTTTTGCAGTAATTCTTACAAAGAAATGTTGATCACTCCTGCTTCCATGATTGAATTGGAGGAAGAACAATTAGACTGTCCAGAAGATATTGACAGAATGGAAATTGATCTTGGGTCCCAACCACAGCAACAAGAGGATCCAACTCCAACTGATGATGCACCAATGAATCCGAGCACTGAAGTTCTCCATGATCCGTCATTACCATTGAGACAATCTTCAAGAATCAGAAAAACCACAATGTCAAATGACTATGTTTATTTGCAGGAGCATGAGTTTGATTTTGGTGATATAGATGACCCTCTCACTTATTCTCAGGCCATGAATAGTTCTCAACAATCATTGTGGCACAGTGTAATGAAGGAGGAATTGGAGTCGATGTCAAAAAACTCAGTATGGACATTAGTGGATTCCAATCCTCAATTCAAGGCTATTGGGTGTAAATGGGTTTATAAAACCAAAAGAGATGCTCACGGCAATATTGAACGGTACAAGGCAAGGTTAGTTGCAAAAGGATTCACTCAGAGGGAAGGGGTGGATTACAATGACACCTTTTCTCCCGTCTCTTCCAAGGATTCTATGAGGGTTATCATGGCACTTGTGGCTCATTACAATCTGGAACTGCATCAAATGGATGTCAAAACTGCCTTTCTTAATGGTGAACTGGCCGAAGACATTTACATGAAGCAGCCTCCTGGATTTGTTGAAAAGGGGAAAGAAGACATGGTTTGTAAACTTAACAAGTCAATCTACGGGCTTAAACAGGCATCAAGACAATGGTTCTTAAAGTTTGATAAAGTAGTTACAGGACAAGGTTTTGTGAAAAAACAAATTAGATGATTGCATCTATGTTAAGTTTTCAGGCACTAGTTTTATATTTTTAGTGTTATATGTCGATGACATCCTCCTTGCCAGTTCTAACATGAAGCTGCTCAAAGACACTAAGACCATGCTCAGTAAGAATTTTGAAATGAAGGACCTTGGTGAAGCACACTATGTACTTGGTATTGAAATTGTTCGAGATAGATCAAGAAATTTACTCGGTTTATCACAAAAGGGATACATAGAAAGGGTACTCATGAGGTTCAATATGTCAAGCTGCAGTAATGGTGAAGTGCCAGTAAACAAGGGAGACAGATTCTCAAAGGCTCAATGTCCTAAGACGCCTATGGAGATAGATAAAATGAAGAATAAGCCTTATGCTTCATTAGTGGGAAGTTTGATGTATACCACTATTTGCACAAGACCGGACATTGCTTTTATAGTTGGAATATTGGGCAGGTTTCAAGCAAATCCAGGAGAGACACATTGGGTAGCAGCAAAGAAAGTTTTGAGATACTTGCAAAGAACCAAGAACTATATGTTGGTTTATGGCAGGAATGAGCTATTGGAGTTAGTTGGATACACTGATTCTGATTTAGCCGGTGATGTAGATGATAGGAAATCTACTGGAGGTTATATCTTTATGCTAAGTGGTGGTGCAGTCTCCTGGAAAAGTGCAAAACAGACTATCATCGCAACATCGACAATGGAGGCAGAATTTATAGCTTGTTTTGAAGGAATGAAACAAGCTGTATGGTTGAAAAACTTTGTGACAGATTTGAAAGTTGTAAATTCTGTGCAAAGGCCTATCATGATGTATTGTGATAACAATTCTGCAGTATTTTTTAGCAAGAACAATAAGAGAACTTCAGCTTCAAGACTGATGGATGTAAAATTCCTCAAGGTCCGAGAAAAGGTTTGAGAAGGAGCAATTCAGGTGGAGCACTTAAGCACAAAAGCAATGATTGCGGATCCTTTGACTAAAGCATTGCTGATTGGAGTATTTAAAACGCATGTCTCTCGGATGGGAATACTTGAATCCTTTGATCAGTGGGAGTAATTCGTTAGTCTTATTATGACTGTTTATTCGCTGCTGTGAAGTTCAGAGAGCTGGTGTGGTGATATAGACAGGTTTCAAATTTCAAATTTAAAATCTTATGGCTGGATAGTATTAGGTTTGTTAGTTTGTTTTGTTTGTTTTATTGAATTGAGATCAGTTATGATGATCTATTATTTCGAACAAAATAAAGTTTGATATAATTCATTTGTTGCTTTTATAATGGTTTCTCCGTTTAAAGCATTTAGTGATGAATTGTTGATTCATGCATTGTTTTGAAGCAAAGATTTGTTTCACATCTTGCTGACAATGATTTGAAATAGTGGGAGCAAATTATTTTGCTTATTGCTGATATTGATCAAGTTCACAACGTTGAGCATACAAATTGAATGTCTGTAACTCTTGAAAACCTGTTTGCTTTATTGTGGTAATACAGTTACAAGCGTTCTGCATTTTGAGATGTATGATAGCTGGTTGTGATTGAAATTTTATTAACAAGATTAGTGATCACTTCTATCTGCACATAATTGACTTGGCTGAGTACTTAAAACTGTTCTCATACTCAAGTGGGAGAATGTAAGAATGTGAGTATGAGATAGACGAGTTTTAGGACCGGCTATATGTGT